GACATACATTTCATTTATGTAAAGTATTGCATGACCGTGCAATTGTCAGTTAAAATAACGCATCGCCGTATCGCAAAAAATGGCCTGGTCAGGAAGGAGGGTAAATCCTCTGGAGGGGCAAGTGGTTAAACTAAAGTAGAGTAGTTTGTTTTAAATGCTGCCTATACATTAAAAAATAATGTTGCAATGTAAACTTTTACTTATTTACATAGCCTGTGTGGGTGGGTGTGACAGATTAGAAGTCTCCTTGCCTGTCAGTCACAGAAAATTTCAGCAAGTCAGTGTCATCGTGACAATGCTGGGTGCTGTGATTGACAATGGATTACAATGACGGATCCCTTTTTTGTGGATTTATTTTTTTTAAATAAATGACAAGATCATTTATTTCAACAAAAATCTTCCCATTTGATCACATATGCATTTAATTAAAGCATAACATTTACCTGTAAGGCTCTTTATTTTTTTTTTTTTCAGCCACTGAGGTGGGTGGAAGAATCCTTCATCCACTGCTGCTGTCGGAATACAATGATCAGAGGCTACAGCTGCTTTGCTACAGCTGCTGATCAACGAAAAAGTTTTCCAACTTGTTTATTTGACAGGAGTCAATCAAACAATTAGCTTCTGTTGAATGGGGGGGGGTCACTCACTGATCAAACTTTGGCTGATTTTCAATGAATTTTTATTCAGCTTTAAAGCTTCACTTATGTTGACATCCAAAAGCCCTTAGACCAGTGATGGTGAACCTTTTGGAGCCAGAATGTCCAAAACTGCAACCCAAAACCCACTTATTTATCACAAAGTGCCAACACTGCAATTAAACCTAAATACTGAGGTTTTAGTTTAGTAAAAAACAATTTGTACATTGATATCTTTTGTTTAAAAAGAAAAACACAATAACAAAGCTTTCAATTGTACAACCAGCTTTTTATTGGAAAGTAAAAGTTTGCATTTGGTGTGCTTTTGCACAATTAATGTGATCTTTGCTGGTGTATGCATGTGTCAAATTGTGGCTCATACTTCATTATTTTGAGAGCAACACATGCAGCACTCAGGTCATTTGTTATTCTGTTTCTTGTATCAGAAGATTTGATATAATTCAAAGCTGAAAACAGCTGCTCACAACCATAAGATGATCCAAGATGAGCAAAGTTAGGCTGACCACCAGCACAGAGGGGCAATGTTCCACTGACCACCGTCACAGAGTGGCAATGTTCCACTGACCACCGTCACAGAGTGGCAATGTTCCACTGACCACCGTCACAGAGTGGCAATGTTCCACTGACCATCGGCACAGAGGGGCAATGTTCCACTGACCATCGACACAGAGGGGGCAATGTTCCACTGACCATCGACACAGAGGGGGCAATGATCCACTGACCACCGGCACAGAGGGGCAATGATCCGCTTACCACCGGCACAGAGGAGCAATGTTCCACTGACCACCGGCACAGAGTGGGAATGTTTCACTGACCACCGGCACAGAGGGGCAATGTTCCACTGACCACCGGCACAGAGGGGCAATGTTCCACTGACCACCAGCACAGAGGGGCAATGTTTCACTGACCACCAGCCCAGAGGGGCAATGTTCCACTGACCACCAGCACAGAGGGGCAATGTTCCACTGACCACCAGTACAGAGGGTCAATGTTCCACTGACCACCAGCACAGAGGGGCAATGTTCCACTGACCACCAGTACAGGAAGGGCAATGTTTCACTGACCACTGGCACAGAGGGGCAATGTTCTACTGACCACGGGCACAGACAGGCAATGTTTCATTGACCATGGGCACAGACAGGCAATATTTCACTGACCATGAGCACAGAGGGGCAATGTTCCTAATGCTGTAGATTTAAATGCCAGGGGGACAGCACAACATTAAAAGAATGTCAGTCTCAGTTAAATATGTATAAAAATTCACATCCAGTGCAGCAAATCAGCATTCTTGTTAGTAGCAGCCAGCTGCTGTAGCAGATCAACTGCTGGATGACCGCGCTGGTTGAAGGCACGCTTAAAGCTCCAAAGAGCAGCTAGGAAGGTAGCCATGGCTTGAGACGTCATCGTCAGCGACCGCGCATGTGCGGGACCCAATGCTCGGCTGCAGGGCAGTAATGGGGTGACTTGGCTTGCGTGCCCACTGCAGCACGTGTGCCATAGGTTCACCACCATGGCCTGTGGCTGCTGACATGTGATGTCAGCAGCCACAGCAGACTCAGAATTGTCATTCAAGAGACATTCTATAGTATTCCCCTTTGTTCTTCCCCTAGCTACTACATGAAGTGTTATGTAGGGTAATGACGGGAGGGGCAGAGGAATTAGACCAGAACAGAGAGTATTAAGACACATCCAGAAGGGGAGAAGGCTATGGCATGCAAATAAGGAGCAGCTCTGCAAGGAATTGGCACATCTTTCTCTATTTATAGATTGATAATTGAACAGATTGCAGGACGATCCCTATTCTGAAATCCCTGGATATAGGATTTTGCAAAGTATGGGGTCTATTTGCAAATGTATTCACCCAGGATTTACACAACGTTCAACCAATATTCATATATTATTTCAGATGAATCCAGCTAGAAAATGTGTGAAACTTTGGTGAAAGTTGTGTGCAAAAAAAAAACCTCTGTAATTAGACCCTTATTTGTTTATTGTACAGTGTGCACCCATGTGTACACTATAAGTACCTGTGCTAAATAAAAACTATAGACTTTAATTGCTGAATTAATAGATCTTACTAAAGCAGGTACTGTCTGTTAGTGGAAAACTCTAAAATGTTTTACTTCCCCCCAAAAGCTCAATGTCTGAGTAAGCTTAACCCACTAAGTCTATTCATTACATTCTCTGGTCAGTACAAGAATCCACAGCAGTCCAACACAGACTTGTAAAAAGAATGTCCTTTACAAGTAACAAACTTCAAGCAAGAAATAAACTACTAATCCCACTTTAAAAAAAAATAAAATAAAGAAAAAAACCCACAAAGCACACAGCTGGTGTAATGCCGGGCCGTGGATTAATCAAACCTAATCTGCAATAAATTCAGGATGTGATCTTCTCTGACCTCATCAATGAAATCAGCTGAAAGTTACTTTGTAAATCCTTCAGTTATTCTTTAACAGGATGAAAGCCTGGCAAGTCTCCCCTCCTTCCTCCTTGAAGAGATTACATTAAGAAAGGCCTTAATTTTAGAAATTCTTCAATATGTTAAAGCAAGCTTGCCACAAAGACAGCTTTAGTTCTATATTTGAGCTACTAGTAGAAGGAAAAAGTGTTTCCAATGGACACAAAAAGCAAGAAAAGATTTACACTGGCTGTTTCTCTCCTTTTATAAGAACCATTATACGCATTAAGCTTTATCTTGTTATTTTTATTCAAATGCTAATTTTGATAGAGATTACCAAGAATAGGATTTGTCAAGTACAGTAAAGTGGCCATTCTGCAAGTAAGAAGGGATGCCATCTATGGAAATAATAACTTATTTGTAACAGGAAAAGGTATGCAAATTGAAGTATGTTGTATGTGCAATTCAAACATCATTCGGATAAAGAAAGTTCATGTTGTCGTCAAGATTCCATCTAACACAAGTTAGGCATTTAAATGTACAGAAAAATGTATTTAGCTAAAATATTGAATTGTTTTGTCAAGATTAGGTTACACATTGCCCTGAAAAGTTAATAGAATCGTACTAAGTAGGTCTATTTATTATGTGTTCTGTGCAAATGGGATAAAATGAAATGTTCTCCAATTTCCTCTACAGGTTGAACGTTTTGCAGTCATACAAACATAAAGTAGTCCCTAGATGAAAAATCCTATTTCCCTTGATCATCAGCTCCATCTAGTGGACATATTTCCATTGTTTTTTAACAAAGGCATAATATTTGCCCTGGCCTGAGAGCATTTGATTGCGCACCATTCTCACAGAATGAATGAGCCAGCAGTTTCACTTGACAAATAGTTTTATATATATAAATACATCCCTATTGTTGACCTATTTATCATTCTAAAATTCTGTTTCTTCTGACACTTAGAAAGGTGATGCATGATATCTATGGGTGACATGCAACCCTGATGGGAAGTTCCATCTTCTCCCCACTATAGATTATTGGAAAAAAGCATATAGCTAGGTTAGATCTTTCAGACTATAACAATTGCTCCCCTGACATAATACTGGGATGGATGTCTTCTGAACACACAGACAACACAAAGCAAGTCATATGCTGTTTGGAGGACCAAGCGACTGCTATTGCTCTTCCTTAAAGTGGAACTATACCCATAATAACTTGATAAAAAATAATGTTCTTTAGCAAGAAACAGACATTCCACATTGCTAATTATGCTACCAAAATGAGTGTGTGCTGTAAATTGCCTCCATCATTGTTTTTTTTTTCTTGCTGGGCTGCCATTTTGCTGAAGTCTAGAGATCCTGAGCTGCAGTAAATCTTTAGGCTGTCAGCAGTTCGGCCTCTACATATTCAGCACAGTGCCTAAAAATAGAGATCATCTGAGCATATGTAGTGCCGGGTGACACAGTGTATTACTAGCTTTTAACCACTTGCCCTCCAGAGGATTTACTCCCCATCCTGACCAGGCCATTTTTTGCGTTACTTTAACTGACAATTGTGTGGTCATGCAACTCTGCACCCAAATGAAATTTACACTCTTTTTTCCCCTGAATTGAGCTTTCTTTCAGGGGTATTTGATCACCTGTGTGATTTTTATTTTTAGCACTATAAAAAAAAAGACCGACAATTTTAAGAAAAAAACAATATTACTTTATGCTTTTAAGCATATCCAGTAAAAAAAATTTAAAAAAATCAAATCTCATCACAAATTTAGGCCAAAATGAATTCTGCTACGTCTTTGCTAAACAAAAATCCCAATACGTGTAAATGAATTGGTGTACATGAAAGTTATAACGTCTACAAATGGTGGTCTATATACTGGGATTTTTCTTTTTTTAATATGTACTAGTAATGGTGGTGATCAGCGACTTATAGTGGGACTGACACTGGGAGGAGCTGACTTGGTGTCACTGACATCCCCAGTGACAACAATACAGTGATCAGTGCTAATAGAAAGCACTGACACTGTACTAATGGCACTGGGCAGGAAGGGGTTAACATCTGGGGCAATCAAAGGGTTAACTGTGTGCTGGGTGTGTTTTACTATGGGGCTGTGTCTGTGTGCTTCACTGTAAGCACACTGTTTTGCATGGCTGTGCTGTGTGCACAAGCTGACAGGGAGGAGAACGGTTTTGTTTATTAACAGTTCTCCCCCTGTTGGACATCCTCGGCAATCACCGGGCAACGGCGAGTAATCACCAGCCGGGAGCCAGTGACTGACAGCCGCGAATGCGGTGCGTGTGCGCCTCACACGCGCCCCCTACCCAGAAATGCAAAATCATATCTATCTATCTATCTATCTATCTATATATATATATATATATATATTCCTAGATTGTAAGCTCTAACAAGCAGGACCCTCTGTTTCCTCTTGTACCAAATTGTATTGTAACTGTAATGTTTACCTTCATTTTGTAAAGCGCTGCGCAAACTGTTGGCACTATATAAATCCTGTATAATAATAATAATATATATATATATTTTTTTTTTCAAAATAATAGCAGTTAGACATCACTAACCTGATCAATCACTGTTTTTGGTAGAAATTATATTTCTATATGGCAAATAATTTACTAGCAGGTGTAGTAGAGTAATAGAAATCCAACAGACCCAACAGCCATGACATGAATGCTGCTGATTCTGTGTAATTGAATCACTAATTGAAATGGGCATGTTCAAAATAATAACAGTGTGGAGTTCTATTAGTGAGGTCATTCATTCTTTGAAAAACAGGTGGCAATTTTTTGCCCTTATTTAAGGAAGGAAGGCAGCAAATGTTGTACATGCTGGTTACAGTGCATTTCACTCTGAAATTCTGAGGAAAATGTGTTGTTCCAGACATTGTTCAGAAGAACAGCGTACCTTGATTAAAAAGTTGATTAGAGAGGGGAAAACATATAAAGAAGTGCAGAAAATGATAGGCTGCTCAGCTAAAATGATCGCAAATGCTTTAAAATGGCAACCAAAGCCTGAAAGACGTGGAAAGAAAGCGAAAAACTACCATTTGAATGGATAGAAGAATAGCCAAAATGGCAAGGACCCAGCTAACAATCAGCTCCAGGAAGATCAAAGAAGGTCTAAAGTTCCCTGTGAGTACTGTTACAATTAGAAGACGCCTATGTGAAGCCAAGCTATCTGCAAGAAGCCCCCGCAAAGTCCCACTGTTGAAAAAAAAAAGACGTGCTGAAGAGGATACAATTTGCCAAAGAAGCACATTGACTGGCCTAAAGGAAATGACGCAACATTTTGTGGACTGATGAAAGTAAGATTGTTCTTTTTGGGTCTAGTGGCCGGAGACAGTTTGTCAGACGACCCCCAAACACTGAATTCAAGCCACAGTACACTGTGAAGACAGTGAAGCATGGTTGCACAAGCATCATGCTATGGGCATGTTTCTCATACTATGGTGTTGGGCCTATTTATCGCATACCAGGGATCATGGATCGGTTTGAATACATCAGAATACTTGAAGAGGTCATGCTGCCTTATGCTGAAGAGGAAATGCCCTTGAAATGGGTGTTCCAACAAGACAACGACCCCAAACACACCAGTAACTGTGCAACATTTTGGTTCCAGACCAACAAGATTGATGTTATGGAGTGGGCAGCCCAATCCCCGGATCTTAATCCAATAGAAAACTTGTGGGGTGACATCAAAAATGCAGTTTCTGAGGCAAAACCAAGAAATAGAGAAGAACTGTGGAATGTAGTCCAATCATCCTGGGCTGGAATACCTGTTCACAGGTGCCAGAAGTTGGTTGACTCCATGCAACACAGATGTACAGCAGTTTCTCAGAAACAGTGCTTATACAACTAAATATGAATTAAGTGATTCAAAGGAAAGCAAAATCTTCAAACATTTTTCAGTTTATATAGTGAATGTTTGAGTTTGTAAAGAAGAATACAAACACTGCTATTTTTTTGAACAGTCTAATATTCACTTTTCTTCAATTTTTTTTAGAGGACCAACACAAATTTGATATATTTTTCTTCATGTTTTGATTTGGAATAAATGTGTAGTGTTCCCAATGCATTTGTGTGTATGGAAATAAAAGCTATTAGAAGGATTTTATTCACTTTTTTCAACACAATGCTATTATTTTGAAACACAACTGTATATATATATATATATATATATATATATATATATATATATATACACACACACACACACACACACACACACACACACACACACACGTGATTTTGTGCACCCGTGCCGCCCTGTAGCAGTATATCTGCTATAGGGAGGATAGGAAGCAGTTAAACAGTATAGGCACTTATATTTAATGTTTTACATAGCTATACCTGCAAAAGGGGCCAGCCTGAAGTGATCAACCAGGACTTAATTTTCTGACTTTAAGATAAATGGCACTGGCAGTGTCTCTAAGCGCTACTGTCAATCTTTCTTCCCTCTCCACTAACAAACATATTTGGAGAACATTGAGGTAAATAAATCTGACTGGCAATTGTTGGTACCAGAGCATGGACCATAGATAGATAGATACTGTACTGTATATGAAGAAGAAAAACCCCTGGTATGTTTTTAAAACCAATTCTGTGCTTCCAAGTCATTTACATTAGCATAAACGTAATAATGATAATACAAGATAACAAGTATAGCATAGGAAATTAAATTAACACTAATTCCACAAATTTTTCTATTACATTCTGCAGTTAAAGTACAAATCAGTTAATGGTGGTTATGAATTCTGCAAAGAATATTGGATGAATTTGCAAGCACTACCTAATTAACAGTAGGAATAATCAGCTACATTAAAGAAAGAGTATAGTGCATTTTTAGTGATCGAACATTTCAAAGCTAAATATTAAAAAGTGGTTGTAATTGTAAAGGCTCAAAGTTTTTTATGTTCATGCATTCTATGCATGAAGGTAAAAAACCTTCTCTGTGCAGCAGCTCCCCCAGCCCCCTATCGATCTAGAAATGTGCACAGGAGTCTCAGCAATCCTGGCACTCCCTCTCCTCATTGGCTCCCGCTGCTGTCAATGACAGCCAGTGTGCCAATGAGAAGAGAGAGAGGGAAGGGCCAAGCCACGGCTCCGTGTGTGTATGGACACAGAGAGCAGTGTGTGCCCCCATAGCAAGCTGCTTGCAGTGAGGGCACCTGACAGGAGGGAGGGGCCAGGAGCACAGGCGGGTGACCCGAGAAGAGGAGGATCTGGGCTGCTCTGTGCAAAACCACTACACACAGCAGGTGTGATATCTTTGTTATTTTTTTAAAATCAGTTTAATTTGGATTTCAAAATAAAATGAGAAATTTCCATTAGGTTCAACGTCTCTAAAATTCCAGCTTTGGTACAGAAAAAGTGATGTTATTTTATATTTATCTGGATACTCTATCAGTAGCACACTACCTATCCTAGGGTAACAATATCACTCACAGTACTGTATATATGGAAGTGCAACATTACCATCCTAGGACCGGAAGTGTGCTATAACTACTGTACGTAATAAATGTAGTCTTGCAAGCTGCTATAGTACTTTTACAATTATTAGTGCCAAAATGAATGCCAATAAAAATAATAAGTGGAAACAGTAGATTGCTTACACCATACACATACCCGTACCCATACAAATGTGACATCAATATGAAAATACAATAAATTAGTGTCGCGCTCCACTGATAAACATATATAAAGTATATATAATCTCCAAACTTATAAGTATTTTCAAAGATTTATAAATATCTCTTCCAAAATGTAAAGCAAAGTGTTCATAGTACATCAGTGATCATAAACTCCTTTCATTGATGTGGACAAACCAACTTGTACTTGATTCATCTTTAATGTGTTGTCGTGACAACCATGCGTGCACCTTCACCAGTTGTGCTCTCACCTGGTAAATATGACCAAACCATTAAGTGAGGTCATAAATAGCTTGTGTCCCTTAAGTGGACTGTGGCTGGATGGGATTGTTATCCAAAAGGGTTTGGAACCTCTCACTTCCTTAGAAGTATGTACATGCTGTAAAAACACTGTTATAATATTCCAAACACTCACTAGCAATCCAATGTTGTGTACTTGCTATTAGCTGTCTATCTCCTTTCGCATGATCATTGTAACGTCGGAGCCCCCCCTACGCGTTGCGCCACCGGGTCACGTGGCTTCATCAGGGAACCTTTTCCTTCATCCTCCCCTCCTCCATACATAGAGCACTCTTTATTCATGGAAGCCATAGTACTCCTCTAAGTACTCTGAATGGAGGAAAGGGCAGAAAGGGCATTGTCGGCACTTGTATTTACCCCTGAAGTACTGGAAGATTACGACTTCGGGGTAAGGGGAGAATCAGAGGACTTAACATTTAAATTAAAAAAAATATTAAAAAGACTGTAAACTCAACTCTAGGGATTCGTGTTTCCACAAACACTTTAAAACTGTGTTCTGTGCATTCTGGTTTACCATTTGATTGTATTTCAACACCAATTGAAGGGTACCCAGTGTCCCTGAAACTCTAGTAGACACCCTCAGGAAACAGAGAGCCTAAAGAGGGGGTGGAATTTTGGAGCAATAGATCAAATCAGTTTTAGGGTATCTGCAAATCACATAAAAACACATCTGTAATATATGAAAATGCATGTTTATTTCTAAACCTTTACTGATGTGAGTGACTTATGGCCGGGACCCACTGATCGGCTAAGCAAATGACAAAAGTAAACAACACAGGGCACTCCATGCAGTGATGTGTCTGTTCCCTCTGCAGGGAGTAAAAAAACAGTCACATCCATTAGTAAAAGCAGCACACATTATACAGTTTACACTTGTTAGGCACACAGCTAATCCTTTGATTGCCACTAGATGATAACCCCTTCCTAGCTAGCATCTTTAGTACAGTGACAGTGTATAGTATTAGCATTGATAACTATTAGTGTCACTGATCATGTTAGTGTCATTTCCCACAAAGTGTCAGTTAGTGTCAGATTGCCCTCCGCACTATCACAGTCCCACTATAAGTAACTGACCGCCACCATTACTAGCATTAACTGGTTCTGTGCCACCCTATAACAGAAATACTGTTACAGGGTGGCATGGGTGCACAAAATCATGAGTATATATGTGATTTTGCAGTTCCATGTAGGGGGTGCGTGCACGCCACACACGAGCCCTACCCACACTGCTATTCGGACCCTCTGCTGTCAATTACTAGATCTTGACTGGTGATTGCCGAGTATCTCAGATGGGGGAGAGATCTGTATATAAACAATACAGTATCTATACCGCCATTTGTAAATGTTATAACTTTCACGTAAACCAGTTAATTTACA